TGCACATCTGTAGCTAATCTGTAATCCGTAAGGAGAATATTAAAATAAAGCTTTTTCAGCAGCCTTAATAAAAGTGTAGTACAATAAACTGTTTATTGTTTTTATCTTCCTCCAATTAAAAAGAAGTATAATGACTCCAGAAAAATGATCTATGAAAACACTGCGTGGATGCTGCATTCTAATAGCTGTTTCGAGGCTTTTGTTTTGAGGCTCAGTAGCTGAGGAAAACCCCTCAGAGAGCGCAGTAGAGTTTAGTCATCAGGGCAAAATGTCCTTTTGATTAAACCACATTACTCAGCTGGATTTCTCAACAGAACTCAGGATTTTAACCTGCTTACAAATATTAGCCAAAACACTTTCACACCGTGTTATGAGTGCTGCTATCGGCGTATTTGTTATTAATAATAACAACAATAATAATGAAGAAACGTAATTCACCTCAGTTTAAATTAAGTCAGGGAGAGTGGGGCACATTGCGGTTTTTCCTGAATAATTTTAAAAATATTTGAGCAAGTTTAATATTTACACAAATGACCTACACATCTGTGCTACAGATGAAAATGTAAACTTTCACAGGGCCTACCGTCTCCAAGCCTGCCGGCATCAAAACACCATAATTGGGTTTAGTATTAACTATAACTGTGGAGCTCTAGTTATAATAGATGCTAAACAGTCAGGTAAATTGATGCAACAGATCATAACTAACATAAGATATAAATAATGTAATTCACTGAATTCAGTTCTATGTTGTTGGAACCAGTCAGGCTTTTTTGATGAAAAAATTGATAGTTTTGAGTGTATATGGGAGGATATGTTCTTTCGTTGTTTGCTTTAGAAGTCTTTTTTTGGGGGGATTTTTCCCCAGTTTTCTCCCCAATTTAGTTGTGTCCAAATCCACCAAATCACATGATACTACCAGCGCTAGGAGGGTGAAGGCTAACACAGGCTTCCTCCGAGACCTGTGAAGCTCCTCCGCATCTTTTCAAACTGCCGCTCACGCAACGTCACTGGACAGCCGAACGCGCTCGGAGGAGACGCTAACCGCCAGTTCTGTTACGTCAGCTAACAGACGGCTGCGCTGATGCTGAGTGATGGGGGGAGAAGGGGGGGCCATCCGGCCCACCCAGAGAGAGCGAGGCCAATTGTGCTCTCTTGGACTCCCGGCTACGGACGGCTGTAGCATCACCAGGGATCAGACTCGTGATCTCCTGATGACGGGACCAGTGCTTAGACAGTTGCGCCACTCGGGATTTACCACTCTAAATTTACATGGGGTCGTGGGTAATTTCCAGTTCGGTCCTGTCTGTGTTTTTCTCACTCCACTTCTGAGAAACTTACAGGCCAAATTACAGTTTTTCACCAAACCCAGCTGTGCTGTGATCGTTTTAGTGATGTCCAGGTACACACATCTGTGTCTTTCCAGACATATGTCACCTCATGTTAGCCATATTGGTCTCCTAGCACGCGTATCAGAAACTCTTCCTCAGATAGTTTTCCAATCAGGAAATCTATCTGGATGGATGCTTGTGAAGAATTACACAATCATTTATGTGTCATGGGTTGTAGAACTTTGAAGAAAATCAAATTCTGATTAACATCCCACTAGAAACCTGTGGCAATTTTATTGCTGTCTGAATGTTAAAGTTTTATCACTGAGGAGACACATACAAAAAAAACAAAACAAAAAAAAACAAAACACACAAACTGAGTCCGATTAGGGTCTTAGCTGTATCAGTGTGTTAAACACCCCCATGTGGAGGCTGTACTTTAGTCTGATCTCTGATGATGACTAAATGCATGTTCGACTAAAACATCAGACGTTTTGCCCTGTTCGTTTGTGTGCCGCTCTCCTGTTCTTGTGTCAGAAAGTGAACATTTTGTTTTTGCTTCTGTGTGTCAGGGATGCTGAGAGGAAGAGGAAGGTGAAGGAGCTTTACGGCAGTCTGGCCACGCAGGAAGGAGAGTGGAAGGCCCTCAAGAAGAAGAAGAGGAAGTGATGTCGGACAGAACGTCCTCATAAATCGCTGTTGATTGAGTCCTTGATTGAGGCCACAGCTGCACAGCTTAGTTTGTCTGGTTGAGTTCCTAAACTAATAATCGAATCCTGGAGATAAACAGGATGTTTTAGATCAGGAAAACGAGTAATCAGGCCTTTGGCTCTGGAGGACAGACAGGCTGCTGAACTTCATGGACAGATGCAGCCATCAGTTGCTAGTGGTCCTCTTTTGCTGTCTCTTGCATTTGGCTAAAGAGCATTTATTTTACATTTTGGTGTCCTTAAAACAAAAAAAGTTGTGTTTATATATGTCAACAATTTGTAAATGACCACCTTTTGAGATATAAAGTAGACAATAACTCAAACCTGTAAGCGTCTTATTTGAATGAAATGCTTATTCGTAGCCATTGAGGTTACATGCAATTTAGAATGATTCAACTGTACCATTGACTGATAACAGAGCGTTCACAAAGGGGTTACTTCAAATGTGCGTTATTCACATCCAGGCAGCTGATGGAACACTGAAGGCTAGCTACGTAGGGACTTCATAACGCACGCAAAGGCATTGCAAAACATTAAAAAAGCAATGCTTGAATCCTTGATTATTTTTGAACAGTTTGTCAGTTTTAGCAAGTTGTTTTATGAAATACAGTGAGGGGCAACAAGTATATAGTTTTTATTTAGTGTATTTCAAGTACATATATCCACTTTAAATGTGCACACAATGTGTTCTGAGTTTGTATTATGAACAAAAATGTATGTATTCATAAGAATAAGCAAAGGTATGTTTACAAACTAACTTGATGGGGGGAAAAAAGGATTTAAAATATTAAAATAAGTATATATGTAAAACTTTAAAATAAGTTCTACATATTAATGCTGCAAAAGTAAAACTAAAAATGTTTTTGTGCAAATTGCGCCTCGTGCCATTATAAAACATTGCCATTGGTTGGGAGGATTTCATGCAACAAGTAGCAATAATGTTAAAAGTGAAGGGGAATCCTAAAGTTTTCAAGGATGACGTTAAATGGTCAACTGCAAAAAGCTACAGAGCCGTTGCAAAGATGTTATGCTTTCTTGTCAACATCGTTGGTTCAGTAATATGAGTGGTCATAATATCAGACAGGTACACCACACAGGACGACCTGAAAGCTGCAGGATCAACCGTTACAGAGAGCAATAAGCAATGAGCTGCACCGTAATTGGCTCCCATGCAAAAATCTGCTGCTAAAAAAGAAGCAGAGATGCTTGTCTAAATTTGGCTGTTTGGACAGATAGAAACTGACCAGTGTTCTGTGGTCCAAACCAAATAGAACTCTTTGGTAAGAAATCAGTTGATCATTGAAAGAAGGCCTGTGTTTATGATTGCATGAACACCCACAGCGAAGCATGAAGGTGGGAGCATCATGATATGAAGCTGATTCTGTGCAGACGGTCCTGGATCATTACACATCATCCAAGGATATGAGTGGAGCGATGTACCAAGAGATATTAGAGGATTTAATCTCAGCCAAGATAGAGGAGAAGATGGATGTTTCAACAAGACAACAACCCAAACAACCAGACAAAACAACTCGAGACAGTGAAAGGCGAAAGTGCTTGCTTGGCTGGGCCAGTCTCTCGACTCAAGTGCTCCTGAAAATTTGTGAAGGATTTTTAAATTGCGAGTTGAACAGAAGGACCTTCCTAACCCTGAAGAACTGAAGACTGTTTGAACAACTGTGTTGCGAAACAGCTAATTACTTCATACCGCAGATGTCCTGAAGCTGTAATTGCCAACAATGGAGTACTGACGCTATTAATTTATGGTGTCTCTGTTTTCTTCCTATCAATTTTTTTCATCTTTGTTTATGAACGCTTTTTGTTGATATTTATAAGTACAAAAGACATTGTCTTATTCATCAAAGGAAACTTGTGTGCGAATGATAAGCTTTGGTGCATAAAAGTCCCCACCTCCCAGCACCTAATTTACATATAGATTACATGAACCACACCCTAATTAATGCAGATGTTTCAGTAGAGAGCCAAGAAAAATTCAGCACTAAGCAGCTCCTGGGCCAGTGGCTGTGCTCGTAGGCAGAGTTTGAGGTTCAGCGGTGAGTGCACTGCGCCCCCTACTGACCAGACTTTATAGTATTAAAATTACAAACACTGTAAAGAATAAATTATGAACGTCTTAGTTTTTGAAGAAGGTCAAATGACAAGATTGTGTAGTGGTTAACACTGTATTATTGTATGTGTTTTGTACTGTTTATTTTGCCGGTGTCATTAGGGAGTCATTAGCATAAAACAATAGCACAGTCTAATATATCTTTATATATGATGTATATTTGTTTATATCAATGTGCATGCAAAATAAGTACCTCCAGATTTGTACTGGATTGTCATTTGCATAAATGATTAGTATTATTAGTATTAATGTTATTTTCAATTTTTATTCCTACTAGTGGTATTATAGATGATTGGCTTAGTTAACTGCAAATCAGGCTTTTTTTCAGGTTGTTAAATGTTTACTCATTAAAATTTCTCACTAAATACACACACAGACGTGAGTTTGATCGTACAGAAAGATGCCAAAGATGAAAGTGGTGGTGAAATTTGCGTGCACGAATTTTACGATCATATGCCACTTCGATGAATAAGGGCCATTCTGTGTAAATTTGAGTAAATTTGAAGTATATTAGATAACAAGACCAAAAGTGTCTGAATACTTGTTTTCCCTCACTGTAAACGACACGAGCTGTTAAACTAAATTGACGGACATTTGCTTCGTTTCATAATGACATTTTCATCACAAGTTCGATTACTTGGTAATTATCTTTAATAATACAAAGTAGAACAACTAAAAACTTTTGGTTGAAGGGCCTTTATGTTAGTTATTTACATAATAAAATCTGTTATGTCATCTTGCAAATACTGATGCAAGTGTTTTAAATCTTTGATGATATGATGTAACTCTAAATCACAGCACTCCAAATGATTCAGCCCATCACAGAAAAAGAAATGCACTTGGGTCAAGCTTTATTAAGAAGTATTTGGTGTCGTTCACATTAGATATGCTACAGGAGACTTTGGCTTGGGCATTTTTTAGAGATGGTTTCGTGTTTCCAGAAGGCCTAGTTAACCAGAGCGTAGCCGGACATGGGTGTAGGAGCGGTAGGGATGTCTGGGGATGAGGGTGGTGGTTTAGGAGGGATTCATTCAGTGGCTGTACGAGTCTCCACGCTGCTGGACACAGATGTGGTTCTTGCCTCTGTAACAGTGGAGAAGAAAGCATTGTAATCTTCAATATGCTGACAGTCTTTGGCCACTACATTAAAGATTGTAATGCATTTCTGAGGATGTACATGAACAGATCTACAGCAGTGACATGCTAGCTGAACTTCTGCATGCTTTAGTGCCTTAATTTTGATCTGCAACAAGAATATTTAACATTGACACTATCAGCAGAACCTACCTTTTGTTCTTGAAAAAGCCCATCAAAATTATATTGCTGCAGCCTCACCTGCCACAGTCTCGGTGACCGGAATTCCGAGCCTCTTTTCCTCTCCTTCCAGCAGCTTCCTGTAGGTGGCGATCTCCGCATCTAGCTTCAGCTTAATGTGCAGCAGCTCCTGGTAGTCAGCCATGTATTTGGCCATCTCCACTTTGGTCTCGCACAGCTGACTCTCTAGTTGGGCAATAATGGCTTCCAATCCAGCCACCTTGTCTAGGTGTGCCACCTCCATGTCATCCAGCTGCTGCTCCAGGGCGGCGTTCCGTGCCCGTAACCCGTCGATTTGGTTCTGCAGGTCGGTCACCTGGTTTTGGTAGGAGGTGATCTCTTCTTTCATGGTCCGCATCTGGGTCTCATGCTTGCTGGCGTGCTCCTTCAGCGTGTCAAACTTGCCCTTGTACCACTTCTCGGCCTCTTGGACGTTGCGGGCGGCCACGGCTTCAATCTCGCTGCGCATCTTGCGCAGATACGCAGCCAGGTCGGGTCTATCAGAGTCCAGCTCCACGGTCACCTTGGACTCCTCGATTTGCTTGAGGAGGTCAGCGACTTCTTCATCGTGGAGCTTCTTGAGGAACTCTATTTCAGCCACCAGCTGCTCAACACGCTTCTCCAGGTCGGCTTTCTGCAGTGTGGCATTGTCCACATCCTGACGGAACTCACGCAGGATTATCTCGGCCTCCTCTGCAAAGACAATGAATATATCAAGTTTAGGTTCTCTTCAGATAGTGGTCACAGAACACTATGGCAAATCTAGTACTTGTTGTATCTTGGCTGTGCTATAGGACATAGTTTCACCAGCTAGTTTTGCCCCATGTACTAAATTTGTTTAAACATTTTTGACTAACCACAGTAGTGGTCACCCAACCCTTCTCAAGGAGATCTCTCTTTCTGCAGACTTTAGCATAAACCCTGATTGAGCATTCTACTGTCCAACCAAACAGTATCTTCAGAAGACTGTGGTCAGATGGATTAGATGTGGTAGAGATGAACTCTTCAAAAAGTTAGGTGTCCGGGGTGAAGGTTCTTTACCGCTGATATAGTGGTGTATCAGTATCACTATATCACTGATATATAGTGAGGTGGTGTTCTGATATTCAGTATTCTGTTTAATTGAATTCAAACTTTTTGCAATAAAGACAGGAAACTTGTAACTCACCAAAATCACATTTATGTTGTCAGTATCTGTAGTTAATTACCTTTAAGCGCCAGCTCTTCCTCCAACTTCAGCCTCCACACCTCCACCTCCTCCTCAAGGTAGCCCCTCTCAATATCAGCCGCGCCCTTTTCAGCAGTCAGCGCCTCGATCAGGTCCTTCATCTCTTTAAACTTGGCCTCGTACTCCTCCCCAAGGCCAGATGGTCCACCCTTGAAGCGGTTCTGCAGGACCTCTAGTTCTGCTTTGAGGGTTGCGTTCCTCTGCTCCAGGGCCTGGACCTTCTCGATGTAGCCGGCAAATCGCACGTTCAGCTCCTGCATCTCCTCCTTCTCGTTAGCATGGTGCTTGTGGATCTCTGTGCCCACCTCCACAGCTTGCCCCTGGAAGCCAGCCCGGCCACGGGTGTAGGAGGACCCCCGGCACCGTGAAGGGGAAGGGCTCTGAACCCGTGTCCTGCTGGATCCGCTGACCGTCAGGGTCTTCTGGGAATAGGAAGAGCCTCTCATGTTTGTGATCTTTTGGAAGGTTGAGTTGTTGCTAGTTCTCAGGATATAGTTCCACCTCGGACGACGGCGTCTGCTCACTTGCGTCCCTCTTTCTTTAGCTGGCTCAATGTGAACTGCTAGAGCCGGCGGGGGGAACAAGGGCTTATATGGGGCCACCAAGAATGTGGCAGAGCCTCTTGAAAGTCTCATGTGATTTTGACATGCTGCAAAAGCGGAGCATGACGCTCCTCCCAAAGCTTCGGCTCCTGCTCATCTCATTAGCCAACATAATGTTGTTATCAGCGAGGCGTGCAAAGGCCTGGCTTGCTGTCACACCTGCATGCTACATAGTGATGTGCGTGTCTCCACATGCTATTTTTCCTCACCAAGGGTGCAGGCACAAAGCAGAGAGGCCTGGTCATGGAAACTCTGAGTGGTCAGGCTTTTTCTACATCATATGTTCTGTGGGTTCACATGCACATAATTCAGTTTGCCATGATGGCTCTGGAAAGATTCTTGGAAGAACATGGACATCTTCAAGAAATCTAACCTCTTGGAACTGGAAGGACTATTTGAGTCATTGTTGAGCTTTAAACTGGCATTTCCCCCCCTGGATATCGAGGTCATTACAAACGCACACTAATGCATTTCTTTGCCTGATGCAACTCTTTTGGGATGGTCTAAGATGCCACTTCATCAGTTCATATGAACATTATTCATCAAAACATTAACTTCATTAAAGCAGGGGTTAATAAATTTTATTTTTATTTAAACAAACTTATATAATATTTGAAACCATGGCCATTATATATTCAGAATACATATATATATATATATATATATATATATATATATATATATATATATATATATATATATATATATATATATATATGTTGTTAAATTGTTAAAGTTTATAAGGTGCTATTTATATAGTTAATAAATTGCATGCTTATTAAAGTTATTGCATTGATTTGTTACCTTTATTAATGCTAATATTATATTTGTGTTATGAGATATTAAAAATACTATTGATGCTTACTTAAAAACTGCATTAATGATTATTTATTAACTTTATTAATGGACATTATGACTTGTATTAAGGCATGAGTGCATTACTTTATTGATGCTAAGGTATTAGTTTTGTTAATGCAGATTTAATGACTTTATAAGAGATAATGATCTTTATTAATGCTTGGCTTCATTACTTTATCAGTGCTAACTTATTAACGTCATGCTAAATTATTAACATATTAGCATTATTTATACTAGCTTATTTGCACTACTTATTAATGCAAAATTAAATTCGTCTGATACCATGATAGCATGATGTAATTGGAAATACTGGCACGTTAAGTTTTATTAGTAATAAAATCGCATTTCTAAATATAATAACCCATTTTGAATGAAACGATGGCTGTACTGCATGTTGGGCTCTGGTGATGTCGTCTGTTCTGAGCTCCTAAAATCTCTAAGGCTTCTGCTAATTGACCTGCGGCCCTTTGCTGTGACCACTGTCATGGTGACCAGCGCCAACCACATGCCTTCTCCCATGATTCCACAGGAGAGCTCAGGCATTTAACTGTGTTCACTGTGTTGTGTTCTGAGCTTTGGGTCATTCAAAACCTTCAGGGAATTAAGTGACATTCCTGCTTCATCTGGCAGGAGTCGGACTTTTCTCACCTTCACTGAGATAATTTGGGTGACAACAGCTCGATATTGTCTTTGTTTGGTGTTATGCATTATTAAGGTGGCTTGACAAAGTCAGCGGATTGTTCTTTGTTTTATTATTCTGCACTTTTTTGTATTGTTTTCATGAGAAAAGTGAGCTTTTGCTTTTGGGACTGATCACACACACAGTTTTCTTACAGCATTCACAAAAAAGTTCCCATATTAAATTAATGGCAATGTCCAGCAAATTCTAATCCAACTGCCACAAATAATGTCACAAAGGACGTCTCTCACACTGCCCCTCATAGACATTACATACAGACTTACATTTGTACCACCACTTATATAAACAAATATTATCAACCACCCGAGATTCCATAGCAACTGCCTAGCAACATCTTAGTAACCATTCGGGATAACACAGCAATGGCCTAGCAACACCTTAGCAACCACCTGGGATACCACAGAAATCCCCTAGCAACACCTTAGCAACCACTAGGGATACAATAGCAGTGGCCTAGCAACACCTTAGCAACCACCTGGGATGCCACAGAAATGCCCTTGCAACACCTTAGCAACCACCAGAGATACAATAGCAATGGCCTAGTAACACAATACCAAACACATGGGACTTGGGTGAAGCTTCTTCATGGAGGCGTCACTGACTTCCATAGCTCATTTTTAATGATGCAGCTGATTCATTTGCAACACTAATGGAATTCAGTAGAGAAAACAGACAAGCCATCACCTCAATTACTTTTATACATGAAATGAATTTTATTTAAACTTCATTCTAAACATTTATTTTATTAGAACTTCATTCTGGATGTTAAAGTTATAGAAAATTAATTCTAGGTGTTAATTTTACTACAACTTCATTCTGAATATTCATTTTATTGAACTTTATTCTGAACATTAATTTTATTAGAACTTCATTCCGGATGTTCATTTTATTAGACCTTCATTCTGAATATTAATTTTATGGAACTTCATTCTGGATATTAATTTTATTAGAACTTCATTCTGGATATTAATTTTATTAGAACTTCATTCTGAATATTAATTATATTAGAACCTTATTCTGAATATTAATTTTATAGAACTTCATTCTGGATATTAATTTTATAGAACTTCATTCTGGATGTTAACTTTATAGAAAAGTATTTCTAGATGTTAATTTTATTAGAACATCATTCTGGATATTAATTTATGTTTTCATATATTTTTTATATGTATGAGTGAGAAATAAGGGACAGTACAGACAGTAACTTTTCATTTACAGTTTATTGACCACATAACATTCTGATATGGATAATATTGATAACTTATATTCCATGCAGTTCTTTCAAAGTTCACAGTAAAAACATAGAAAATAGAAGTCACAAATTTATCTTCACTGTACTTCAATGACTGACAACTTCAATTTACAGCTCTAGGCAAAAGTCAGAGACCCTTAACATATTTAATTTCCAGTCAAAACAGCCAAAAAGTAGAAGTTGTTAATTTTTCAGTGTGAGGAAAAAAATCAAGAACATATTTAACAGAGAATCACACAGAATCCTCAACAGCTAACTCTACTCTCAGCTGTGTGAGTCAGTGAGTCACTCCTCTCCTTTATTCCAGCTTCCATTCTTTTCAGGAGGCTCACTTTCAGTTCCTCAAAGAATCTGCAGACACACCTCCAAAGTTCAGTCTTAGAAGCTGGTTGATGATTTTCTGAAGTAATCAAACACATTCAGTGGTGTTGAGGTCTGGACTCTGGGGTGGTCAGTCCATCGTTCAGCTTCTTTGTTTGATGTGTCCATCTCCTTTTCTCAGTGAGGTTCTTCTTGATCAGCTACACATCCTTTCAGACCCACAGCGCTGAGTCGTCTTCTCACAGTGGAAGGATGGACAGAAACACCTGTGGATGTTTTCAGATCTGATCAGCTTGATTTTCTCCTCTCTCTCAGAGATGAAAGCTTTAAGTGCTGTTTATCTGATGGGGGCAGTTTTGGTGGCTACCAGGTCTTCCAGGTGGCTGTTAGGAGTCACGTTTTCTCTGTAGCTTTTAATGAGACACTTATGCAATGGATTATCTTACATCTAATCTCCTCAGAAACATCTTCTGAAAAATAGTAATGTAATGGCCATTTTGACTGGAAATGTATCAAGAGGCTGTCTATGACTTTTGCACAGTGCTGTAAATTCATATCCAGATACCTGTTATAGAGACACTTAGGTGATATTGTGGATAATAGTATAGTTTACAGTATAGAGCCAGATGTTTTAAAGCCACAGCGGCCACGAAACACACTCCGAAGCAAACTTCGATTACATGAGGGGTACAAGAGGGGAAATGGTGGAAATTATATATTTTTTTACTGAAATATTCCATTAAGACGTCATCTCTCTCACAAGAACACTCCATAGACAGCCACTGTGTGGACATGGGTGGATGCAGGTGGACCTGGCAGAGTAACATGGGAGGTTTCGGTCAGTTTGGCTCTTGGTTATAATCGCTGCCTCGTGTGCTTTTAATCAGAATCCTCCTGAAAAAGTGGAATAACAAAGTAAATAAATACAAAAAGGTTAAAACAGATCAAGCTGTACTTGAATTAACAGGAATCAATGAAAGTGAGTAGTGCATATTATTGTGAGGGCAGTATTCAAATGTAGAGCAGGAAGTGAGGCTGCATCTCTGTCCCTCATGGCCACATGGTGACCAGTTAGATCCCATTGTTTTGAAGTAAATGAGCTAAAAATGTCACTACTGAAACGTTTGGTTAGGTTTGGGTGGAGTTATGATTGTTACAAAATGGAATGTTTAATTATTTTTCAATAAACATAATTAAGGTACAAGATGCGACCTTTGCCACAAGCCAGTTTGTGAAGTTTCTGCCCTGCTAGATCTGCCCTAGACAACTGTAAGTGCTATATTGTAAAATGGAAGCATCTAGAAGCAACAACAGCTCAGCCCCCGAAACAGAAGACCACACAAACCAGAGTGGGGCCGCCGAGTGATGAAGTACATAGCAAGTAAAAATCACATCTTCTCTGTTACAGATGCAGAGAAGTAGTTGCAAACTACCTCTGGAAGCAACATCAGCAAAAGAACTGCACATCAGGATCTTAATGAAATACCTACTGGAATGCAAAGCCAACAGTAAAGTTTGGTGGAGGGGGGATAATGGGCTGGGGCTGTTTTTCAGGGTTTGGGCCCCTCAGTTCCAGTGAGAGAGGGTCATTCAAAGCTAAGTTGAACTCAGTTCAATCCAAAATTGGACTTTAAATCAATTAGGTTCACACTTAAAAAGGACCATGATGATGAAAGTTCTTAGTAAAAACAGAACGTGTTAGTTTGTGCACCTCTCTTCCCTGCTGCAGGTGTGCAGTTGAGAGTGGGTGTGTGTATATACCTCAGTGTTGGGGGTGTAGCTGTAGTCGGTATCCTGTAGATCAGCGTTCTCCACAGGCAGGTTTTTTACCTCATCATCCTACACAAACCAGACAGAGTCAGGTTTACACATATGTTGGTTAGCAAAACTAACATGAGCCAACAGACAAAACTGTCCTGTCAGAAAATGACACACTAGAGAGAGAGAGAGAAACCAGGAGAGAGGAAACTCAGAGAGAGAGAGAGAAAGGAGATATATATGTATATGTACGGTATGTGGCCAAAAGCATGTGGTATTCTTAATTATCTCCATAGACAAACACTGGCTGTAGAGGGTCGTACTGAAGAGCTCAGCAACTTTAAACTGTCATGGCACCTCTGCCACAAGTCAGTTTGTGAAGTTTCTGTCCTGCTAGATCTGCCCCAGACAACTGTAAGTGCTATTAGTGTGAAATGGAACCATCTAGGAGCGACAACAGCTCAGCCACGAAGTCATAGACCACACAAACATACAGAGCAGAGCTCACTACAGATTTCCAAACTGCCTCTGGAAGCAACATCAGCACAAGAACTGAGCATCAGGAGCTTCATGAAATGGGCCTCCATGGCTGAGCAGCTGCACACAGGCCTATTATCACTATGCTCAATGCCAAGCGTCAGCTGGAGTGGTGTAAAGCGCCACAACTGGACTCTGGAGCAGTGGAACCGTGTTCTCTGGAGTGATGAATCAGCTTCTCTATCTGTCAGTCTGATGATGAATCTGGGTTTGGTGGATGTCAGGAGAACGTTACCTACTGGAATGCAGAGCCAACAGTAGAGTTTGGTGGAGGAGGGATGATGGGCGGGGCTGGTTTTCAGGGTTTGGGCTCTCAGTTCCAGTGAAGGGTGATGTTGATGCTACAAAGACATTTTACACAGTTATCTGCTTCCAGCTTTGTGTCAGCAGTTTGGGGAAGAGCCTTTCCTGTTCCAGCATGACTGAGTCCCTGAGCACAAAGCAGCTCCATAAAGACATGGAGTGACCAGGTTGGGGTGGAGGAACTCCAGTGGCCCTCACAAAGTCCTGACCTCAACACCACTGAGCACCTTTGGTATGAACTAGAATGGAGATTGTGAGCCAGACCCTCTCGTCCAACATCAGTGTCTGACCTCACGAATGCTCTTTAGACTGAAAGGGCACAAATTGGAAAGCTTTCCAGAAGAGTGAAGGCTGTTAGAGCCGCAAAGGGGGCGACTCCATATTAATGACCATGGTGTCCACATACTTTTGACCATACAGTGTATATATAGGGAACTTGAGAGAGGGAGATGATATGTATACACACACACATAGAGGAACAAGGAAATAGAAATAGAGAGAGAGAGATGATTATATGTCGATTGCCCATACTGAGTAGGGTCTGATTTTTGTCTGGCATTGAAGTAACCAAAATAAAAAAAAGGTGACAAAGCGAGTGTGTGTTTCACACAGTCTGCACCAGGTAATAGGCCTCTGTGTGTGTGTGTGTGTCTGTTTGTGTGTGTGTGTGTGTGTGTGTGTGTGCGTGTGTGTGTGTGTGTGTGTGTGTGTGTGTGTGTGTTTAGTGCCCATCTCTCCTGCTTCTGCGTTTAACACTGCCCACTACTTCTCCATCTGTTTCCTTTGTCTAGCCAGGAACGCACACACACTCACCCCAAATGCATCCCACAATGCATCACCACTCTGCCACACTGTTGGGGTTTTTCTTTCTCTTTTATTAGATGATTTTTTTGCTTGTTTTAAATAGTAGCTTGTCTCTGTGCTAGAACTCTCATCATATAGCTGAAATTTTGTATCATACCCAAACCTGCGCTGGAATTATGGGGGAGTCAGGAGGTGCTTAGCTTAGCTCTCCCAAAAACGACTGGTTAAGATATACTGATAGCTACTTTATTAACCAATTCAATATTTTTCACGTCATTTTTTCATATTTTTGCCATAGTTTCTTTGACAAATAAAAGCAACTTTGTTTCTGGCCTGTGGTTTGTTTCATTTCATGTGATCTAAAGTCATTCAGAGTTTTTTGGTGTGAAATGGTTCAGATGTCTTTACAGTGGTGGTGATAGGAACCAGGGGTCGCCATGACTACAACACAAATATAGACATTTTATTTACTATCCAGAACCACCAGTGAACCTACACGAGTCTTCTGAGTTTATATGGAATGTTGATGATGGAAAATAGTGGAAAATCTGAAATAATAAGTTTTCTTTGGGGACTATTTTGCCTCACAGCGCCCTGCATGTATCCCTCCACCATGAATGGAGTTTAAGTTCTCCAAACTATCATAAAACAGTGTCTCAGTCATCAGGCAGTGAATTCATAACCATTTCATGTAGGAACTTTCTGTGAGGGAGCTTTTAGAGGGGGACGTCTGGTTCCTATCACCACCACTGTGAACAGTTCTGACTATGTGAGTTTATCTAGAACGGAGCGTTTCACACCAAACCACTCTGAACCACTCTGAATGAAGATGTTTACATCTCAACCATTTGATTCCACTTTAACTCTCTTTACAGCAGGACTGTCATTGTGAACTTGTTGCTAATTAACCTTTCTCATTCAGCGCTTTTCAAAGCAAAGCCACGCACATAGTTTCATATTTGGAAATCTTAGCTTTGATATAATATGCTATAAGCACGTACATCTCGGATGGTGAGCACCAAGTTGGCTTTAGCAGCCTGTCTGACCAAAACTCATTTCTCACTGCTCGCTCGTTTTTCTCCACTCCGCCATCTGACAGTATCATCCCTCACTCGCTCACTCTAATTGATGGCGTGTGGGGATAGACAGATGAAAGGACAAGTGTGATCGACATTTGGTCTCCCCTGCCGCTCTCCAAGAGGAGGAGCTGTGTATGAGCTCTTTGGAGGATCTCATTGAGCTCTTTTTAATTTGATCCATATCTGTGTCTGTAATGAAAAGGTCTGTGGAGACGACTCTAAATCACTTCGCTTATGCTGTTTCTTAATGTTGTCCTCCAAACCAGCATAGAGGTGAGTCCATAAGCATTAAAAGGCACGTAAACATGACCGAAATATACCAAAAACATCCTGTACTATAAGCTCCTAAGTGGGGCAACTGTTTAAGTGTTGGCCCTATTATCAGGAAATTGTGAGGTTGTTCCATTTGTGGCTCAGAATCCAAAAAAGGCCAGTTAGCCTTACGCTGCCTAGGTGGGTAAGATGGTCTCACTAGCCAATGTTGGCGTCTGTTTGCCGATGTAACAAAATTGGTCATTAATGTTCTCCTCCAAGTGTGTTGAGCTCCAGTGATGCTGTGTAAGTGGCAGTACGAAAAGACTCTCAGCAGAGAGGTTTAGCATGGCCCAGAACCTCCTACTTTGACAGGAAGGGGCTGTTTGGCATGCAAAGTGACCAATCATTAGCTGTTGTTTTTTCTTTACATATAAGGCAGTGGATCCCAAACTGTGGTGCCCAATGCTGTTGGGGGCACGTGAAATATTCTGACATTAATCTTCATTTAAAATTAATTTCATTAGCTGCGCAATTACACTGGTGACATAACATGTCGAGTGGCACCAATCAACCATCTATCGTTCCACATAGGAACCAACCTCCCCCAACCACTTTCTGTCTTATTGTATTACAAAATGAATAGAGGCACCACTGCACTGTATCAAACTGATTTATGAATTCTGTGATTCGTTACACTTGCTCCACTAACATCTACAGCTTTGATTCTTTATGTATTAAGTAAATGCATTAACAGCAATAAGAAATCACATTGCTAACCTCTTTCTAAAGCCTCCTAGTGGCCATTCCACCAGAGTAACAGAAATCAATTTGGATATTTTTGATTCATATAATGAAATAAAATATTTCCCCTTTTATTCTGTAGGTGGAGGCTTATTTTAGCCACGCCCCTGCCTTTCAGAGCAGGAAGTGAGGCCGCATCCCCGTCCCTCATGGCCACATGGTGAGCAGTTAGATCCCATTGTTTTGAAGTAAATGAGTCCCAAAGTCTGAAAATCAGTGTGGAACATTAAGAATCGTCATATTTTCTGCAGTTCAGCACTTTTTAGTGTTTTAATGTAAAATATGATGATTTTCTGTGTGAACAGCTGTTCAAAGCTGTGTTTCTGAGCTCAAAATGAGCCAAAATTGTCACTGAAACAGTCACTACTGAAACAGTTGGTAAAGTTTGGGTAGAGTTATGATTATTTTGGTAGTGACAGAACGGAACATTGAATCATTAGTTTTAATAAAATAAACATAATTTAGGTCACTCAGAGCAAAAGAATTTTAGACTAAAGTTGAAGATCAGTTAAAAGTCTGAAATATATTCTGAACTCTGACTTTGAACCAGTTCAGTAGAATCATCTATATATTTTAATGGTATTTTCGTGGTGTTGGTTGTTTGTACTGAAATGACGTTTGACTGTTACAGTTCCTTACATTAAATTACACTTCAATTATTGATAAGTATTGGAAACAGCCTCTTCTACTCCCACAGACAACACCCACAGATCTCCTTCTGACAGTCAGGATCGCCATGGCAACCTTATTTCACACAGGAGCCTTCCCTGGGAGCGGATGATTCAGGATGTGTGTTTGATCCTGGACGCCTCACGTAGGCGCCCTTTACGCCCGGTGAGTGGGCAGCAGCTGAGTGTAACGTTCGGTGACGTCACTCCTCAGGCTCCCCGTACCGCGAGGATGCTCATGGCCTGCCAAGCTGTGTTAGCTGAGGTAAAATTAGATAAAGGAGGTGTGATTTGGGCAGTGAATATCTGTGAGATATTAAGACAAAAACATATTTCTAAGTATGAATATATTATGTACATGTCATGGTATGTTATTTGCTGACCTGAAATTGCAGTGAGCTGGGCATATTTCTGCAGTTAAGGTAAGTGGTGGGGTCAAACTTGGACACCACCATCAGCACTGACCACAATGGCATCCCCAGTTATGTACTCTGCATGAATTTATTATTATTTCAGGTGAACTGTGCTGAAATGTTGCAAAGAAATTCATAGAAATCTATAATACTGAATAATTCATAGTAGATACTGAATAATTCATAGTGGATTCTTAATAATTCATAGAAGATGCTGAATAATTCATAGTGGATACTGAATAATTCACAGTGGAAACTAAATAATAGTAAATCCTGAAAAATTAATAGTAGATGCTGAAAAATTCATAGTATATACTGTATAATTCGTAGAAGATGCTGAATAATTTATAATGGATACTGAAAATTCACAGTGGAAACAAAATAATAGTAAATACTGAATATTTAATAGTAGATAACTAAAGGTTTACAGTAGTTACTGAATAATTCATATTTTACACTGAATATTTCATAGTAGATACTTAATATAAACATGTCTGCTCTAGCATCTGCAAAATCAGCGCTCTGAACGAGTTGAGAAGGAAGGCCCAAAGAATTCAGACTTCAGATGATTTAGGAAGCAGGCTAATGCATTATCCGTGTGCCAGTGAGGCCTTTCTGAGTAACATCTGACTGATGTTCAGCTGTAAGAGTTTAAAAATGAGTGATGGTGCCACATGGTAATGTCTCAGAGAGGTGCGATGATGCCAGGCGTGTATGCAGGATCGCGTCAGTGTGTAAGCAGAGACAGTAACTCGGTGAACCGGCGCCTCTCTCAGCACTTCTTACCACTTTGGTCATGTCCTTCTTCACCAGGCCGGTCGCCGCGGCAATACTCCCGGCCCCCTCCACGGTTTTCTGGGCCACCGTTGTGACGCCGGTCACCATGGCGCCACTCACCTGAGACACACCCGAGACGGTTTTTTCTGCGACTGTAAAAGATCAAATGACACCGTAATCAGCTCCTAAGAAGAGACCACAGAAGTCAGAGTCTCTAACACTGACCAGGCGTCTTCAGCCAAATAATAATCCTTCTCTTTTACAGTTTCACACTAAAGTTTCCCCCAAAAACTGCTTCCTTCTGAATTATCTTTGTTTTACACGAGCAGTGACGTTACATTAGAGATGAAGAAGCAGTTTAGCTCTTTAAAACTTTCAGGGCCTGAATTTCGGTCCTTACCTCAAATTCTCACTTTCATAACTAGATAACTTATATGGTGGCTTCAATTATTTACTAAATAATTTATAGAAATGAATAATTTATAGTAGTTATGGAATAATTTCAAATAGTACTGAATAATACACTGTAGATACTGAAAAATTCATAATAGATACTGAAAAATTCATAGTAGATACTGAATCATTCATAGTAGATACTGAATCATTCATAGTAGACAGGTTTTAAGTAAAGCCAAATCTGGCAAACTTTCGTAGCGCTGAAAAACATCCTCAGCTATCTGTCCATTCATAACAGCACTTTCATTTCTCAGACTGGCATGTAGCTTTACGTTACTGTATGATGGTGATGACATCACAGAAGTCATTTCTGTTGTGTGGCATAGTGTGATAATCATATAGTGTGTCCATTTTTCATCTACTTGCACCCTATATGCAGCGCATCAAATCACTGGACTCTATGGGTCTTAAAGCAGAGGTAGATTTAAAGGGGAATTCCACCATTTACAAAAAATCTGCATAATTAAACTTAAAGAGATGATGTAAATAGAGTCACTCAGAGTGGTTTGGTGTGAAATGCTCCGTTCAGAACTGTTCACAGTAAGTTATTACATGAAATGTAATGGTTATGAACATGTTGCCTGATGCCGGAGACACTGGCCCTTATTCTTCAAGGCTGTGTTTGCTCAAACCAGATCACAAAGTGACAGCACACAAATTTCACCAGTTTTGTTATTAATCAGATTATTTTTTGCCAATATTGTCAATAATATCAGAATAGAAAATAACATAGATTGCACTAATAACTTTGTAAGATATTACTAAATTGTACTTATTTTTATGTGCACACTGATATAAACAAATGCTGTGTTTATATATTCCATTTAAAGACTTTTGCTTTATATTCCTGGTACAGTAAATAACTACCAACACTAAAATACAAAACAGCTTCTTTAGTACAGTAGAAGCTCATTTGCTGGATTATCTTTCAGACAGCCAGTGTTTTATGACAATAATCCCATTAGACAGTCACATTACTCTACCATCTGAAAAAAAACTAGGACATTTATTTTATTTCACATTTTATTCTTTTCAAACATTGTAGTTTTAACACTATGAAGCTATTTATACTCTGGCCAGTAGGGGGAGCAGTGCACATCCTGCTGAACCCCATATTCCTCCTATGAGGACAGCTGATGGCCCATGAACCTGCTGAGTTTTATTGACTCACTATCAAAACATTTGCATATAATTATGAGGGCGTGTCTGTTGCAAATGATATTTAAATAAGGAAAATTAGGACAGTCAAATCTGAACTCCTTTCTATGCAATTCTGAGAAGATTTTGGCTTAAACCTTTTAAAAGACTATTAATAGTGTAGAAAATAGCAAAGAAAACTTTTTTTTTCAGATTTACCAATATTTCACCATTATCAACATATTTGCACTGTAGACTTCATGACCTCTGGGTTCTTTCACCACCAGTGTGAACAATCTAAGTTGCTAAGTTTCTCTACAATGAAGTGTTTCACATCAAACCACTCTGAATGGCTTTGTTTACATCTCAACCATTGAATTATGCAGAAATTTTGAAAAACGGGTGGAATTCCCCTTGAAGCTCAGCTAAATTGAGTGATGCACTGCAGTACAGCTGAGCCCTAAGGCGCTTCACCTGCTAAAGCACACAGGAACAGCCTGTGGGTTCAGCGTCATGTGTCGACCGTTTGTCCTCCCTTTTGTTTTTCACATTGTCAGTCTAGAGACCACTAAACATCTGCAGCCCTCCTGAGGCCTGCATATCAGCTGGAGCTGGAGCTCCAGGCTGTGTTCCATCACCTGGGTTTTTGGAGGCTAGTAAGATCTGCTCACATCCCAATAGCCTAATTCGAGTCTTTTTCAAGATCTCACACAGCTCTAAAAAAAGACTTCCTTCAGTCCTGCGAGAGCTTCAGCACCCCCTAGGGAAACACTGCTATCTATAAAAATGGACAAAAATATGTTAGCATAACTAAAAACAGCAGCAGCCATCTTGACCCTTGAAGTGAAGCGTGTGTTCTGGTGTAAGTATGATGACGCAGCATGGCTGCCATTTCTGTGCTGGCTGAGGATCTGCCACCATAGTGGCCCAGAGCGAGGTTTCTCAGGCTGCCCACTTGCGCCATGCTACGCCCCAGCTATGTTTGCTTGGGCTGGTCGGTTTGAGAGATGCTACACTGCAGCTACAAGGCCTCCCAGGCTGATCACTTCTTCGGTGGTTAAGGGCTCTTTCAGGCTATAAGGAGTCCCATGATGGATGAGTTATGCTACATCTCAGCTACATTCTCTTTCCAGTGCTCTTTCCTGGGCTAAGGCATCCCAGGCTGGCAGCTTGACCTATGTTTCACTGAAGCTCAGAAGCTGCCTGGGCTGGCCACTGGAGCTACATTATGAGGCCTTCCAGGCTGAGAGGCTAAGGACTCTTACAGGGCTGCGAGGCTTCCTAACCTGGCCTCCTCAGCTATGCTACATCACAGCTACATAGCTGCTTCGGTTGGCCGGTTTGAGTGACGTTACATTCTAGATTGAGAGAGACCTTCCCCCATGGCTAAACACTTCTTCCAGGCTTTGAGGCTACCTAGGCTGGACGCAGGAGCTGCCCAGTTTCAGCAATGCTACGTCACAGCTACAAGGCCTCCCAGGCTGGGAGATTAGTTAACAACTTGACACCGTTTCATGTAAGCATGTGGTGATTTGGTGGTATGATCTGAACTGTTCCTTTAAGCGTTTAATCCTCAGTTTTCAGATTGGACAGATACATCAGCCCTGACCGAGGGGCTCCACTGACCGTGATCAGACTCTAATGTGGAATTCAGTAGTGCTGTTATAATGGACATCCGCACTCATGTTAATTGCTCATAAAGAAAATTAAAGCCTGGCTGAGTGTGAAAGCTCGTGGGGACAGCAGGCCATGATTAAGCTTCAGCTCAACTCTGTTATTGACCGCTAAAAACTTACTAATAATAGTCTCATAGTTTGTTCTGCTGGTTGCGTACATACCGAAAACCATTTACATGAATTAATGATGTTTATAGAAAAACAGGCTCATTCTCAGATTCAATATGGTTAGGGTCATTTATTAAGATGACAGAGTGAGGCCTGTCATGTTTTGGTCAGATTTGGATGTGACAGGAGCAACAGTGCACCTCCTAGTCCTGAAGAGCCTGACCATAAAAAATGACTATCAACTTCTTAAATATTTTTTCTAAGAATGGACATTGGGAGCTATTGATTAGTAGAAATAGACACAGAAATCTAGTACTGTGGAGCTGAGTGAAATATCAAATATCAAATAAAATTTTAAATTTATAAATTACATTAAATAATATATTATTTCACTTGGTATCCAAAACTGATGACTTATTTTCTCAAAATTTCAACTTATTATCTCAAAACAATGGCCTGTTATCCCAAACGAATCACTTACTTTCTCTATTCTTTAATTTATTTTATTAATATTAAATAATGACTATGACAATTTATGATACTCAAGTTTATGATTGAGATTCTCAAAACATATTTTCACAACATTTGGACTCAAAATAATGACTTGATTACTCTTTATTTCAACATAATATGTCAGAATTTCATCTTAATTTAGAAACCTGACAAAACAAGTCCTTACTTGGGGATACTGAGTCAAAATCTTGTAAACGTCAATCATTATTTGACATGAGTACAAAAATTGAGAATGTAAGTCACTCTTTTGGGACAAAAAGTCCAAATGTTGAAAAAATAAGTCAATATTTCAACATGATAAGTCTTTCTTTGGGGACTATTTTGCCTTAGAAATCCCTGCATGTATCCCTCCACCATGAATGGAGTTTAAGGCCAAAATCTTCTCTAAACTATCATAAAACAGTGTCTCAGTCATCAGGCAGTGAATTCATAACCATTTCATGTAGGAACTTTCTGTGAGGGAGCTTTTAGAGGTGGACGTCTGGTTCCTATCACCACCACTGTGAACAGTTCTGACTCGGTAAGTTTATCTAGAACGGAGCGTTTCACACCAAACCACTCTGAACCGCTCTGAACTGCTCTGATTACATCTTAACTGTTTAATTATGTTTTTTGAAATGAAGGTGTTAATAGTGAGTCTGTGCTGCAGTAACAGCCTCTACTCTTCTGGGAAGGCTCTAGATGTTGAACATCGCTGTGAGCATCTGATTGAGCATTAGTGAGGTCAGGTACTGATGTTGGATGGTCAGTTCTGGATCACTCCAACTCATCCCAGAGGTGTGGGAAGTGAGAACACAGTTCCACTGCTCCACAGCTCAATGCTGGGGGGCTTTAAACCCTTCTAGCCCACACTTGGCATTGGGCATTGTGACCTTAGGGTCATGTGCAGCTGCTGCAGAGCGTCCCAATCAATTGATCGGTGCTTTGTAGTTTATACAAGCTGTGTACCGGTGTTAGTGATGGGTGACCTTAAAGTACCTGAATTCACTCATTAGAAGGACTGTCTGGATACTTTTGGATATATAGTGTATTGTTACACCCCTGTTCCTAATATTTTGTTTCATGCAATATAATATTAAAAGTTACCTGTTGTGACGCCATCCCTGGTTTTCGTTCCTGTGGATCAGAAGAATTATATTCAGTTATTAAAAATTAAAGCGGATAAACTTTGAAACTTCATGATGTTAGTATGAGTGCATGCAAAACATTTGAACATTTTAATATTATTACTATAACAACAACAATACGAAACAGTAAATATAGAACCTTTAATGAATGTAAAATGCAGCTCAAACTGCTTTACAAGGAGAAATTCACAAAAAAACCAGTCTAGAAGAAGAACAGAAAATAGAGAAAACGCAAAAGTTTGAAAACTCTGTGGTTTTTGGGTTTTGTAAATAAAAAATAAGTTGAAAATTTTAGTATAAAGTACTATAACTTTTGCACTTTATTTTTTGTCCCCAATGTATAAATTGTGTTTTCTGATGTGTAACCTATTTTCAAAAAGCATATCATTTGCCCCAGGGTGCCCAAACTTTTGCACATGACTACAACTTTGGGTACTTTTCAAGCATTTTGGCAGGTTTTGAACATTTTTCTTGGCAGTGCTACGTAGAACTTACACTGCAACTAAAATGCACTCTAGTGTTCAACATCACTAAATACACATAAATTCAACAAAAACACGTATTTAAATGTACTTTTACACGAGAAGCAATCTGGCAACCCTGGTGCTGCCAGCACTGGACTATTATGTTTGTTCTTCTAAGAGCCGTGTGAGTGAACACATGTCCAGCAGTCCAAATTTATAACATTATTAGCACCACAGTACTGCTCAGTGGACTCACCAACGAGAATGACCCCGTGTTTGGTCATGCCAGCAGCGCCCGTCACGCCCTGCTTGGTTTTCTCTGCCGCCAGAGCTACTCCGTCCTTGGCTTTGGACAGGCCTTTCTTCAGCACGTCCATGGTGGGCTCACAGAGGTCTGGAGCAGCTGTGGAGTCATGAGGTCTGAGGTGATTGTGTAATGGTTCCAGCACACAGTTAGCACCATGCTAATTGGTGGGCTATAAGCTCCCATTACGTGTTGGTCACATTAGCCTTGTAGCTTTAGGGCTAAAACTACACTGAACACTGGCGTCATTATTTCAGTCTAACACTTTGAGTCTTTTCAGCTCACCTGTCTTATCAGTGAATGTACTTTGAGTTGTATTACACTGTATTCTTCTTTGTATATGCTATATTTTAGGCTTCCATGATTGGAGTCAGCCAGGATCAGCAACTGGCAAATTTTTTTATTTTAATTTTGTACCGTGTTATGATTTTAACTTGTAAATAATATCCAAATATCCAAATCTATCCAAAGTTCTCAATCAATTTTTTGAGAATATTCAAAAGAAAATCTTTTTTATAGTGTGTCTGTCATAAATATGTCACTTTTCAAAGGTATGTTTCATCTAGAAATGACATACTTTTAATGTTTACACTTTAAATGTATTATTTTTTTATCAACTTATGACATATTACGTGCATTTAAAGCTGAACGATGAATGGTATGGGTATTTGGAGACCTCTCTGGTGGAAATGTGTAATTGCATGCAAAGTGTGGAAGAACATTTTGTAACGTTGGTTGTGTTTTGGACCCCCATGAGCGAAAAACTCCTGCAAAATTCAACTCAGACAACTCACAACAACTCACACTTAAGCAAATTTAAGTATGCAATTTGTAGACGTAATGTATTACACTTGGAGTGTATCATAAATAAACTGCTGGATGCACAGTTATTCTGCAACTAAAGTGCACTTAACTGAGTTCAATATACATATACAATACAGATATATTGAACAAATAAAACATGTACTGAAGTGTACTTTTATAAGACAATTAAGTACACACTTAAATATGTTATTCAGAATGACTAAACACAACTTATATACACGTTAATACATCTTCTGTGCCTGCAAGTGCTTTTCTGCTCTAAATTAAACGATTGTTAAGGCACAAATTCTACCACACAAACATATTTTAAATGTCTTTAAATATTTCAATACTTTTGGGTTTACTGACACTCATATATAACCGCTAGCTAGTGCAACTAAAATGTACTAAAACACTTTCAAAGTCAGTGATTTAAAAATGTGCTTCTAAATAATACATGAATGATGATAAATAGAAGCTTCGGTATGTTAAGAAATACTTTTATTCAAGTGCTTTTACCTTACAGCATACTTAAACATAATTTAAAATGTTTTACTTTGGAAATATTACTATAAGATGCTACATTATAAATATATGATAGTTTAAAAATACAGAAAAATATTTTTGACACATATTTGAATGAAAAAACATGAATTAAAAGTGTTGGTATTCTCTATATAGTTCAAGTACTCTATTGATGCACTTAAAGCGTGTACATCCCAAACTAACTGGTTGGGAGCTTGATTCTGCTTCTAACCTGCACCAACTTAAAATGAACCATGTTATACTCCAGTTACTTCAGGAGCTTTTTAACTGTGTTATATTATAAATAAACATGCACCTGCGATTCATTTCATTATACAGCAGTATCAATGTGCACAATATGTTTAATACAGAAGCCTCTAAATAGCATCTACTTACATAACTACTGTAACTGCTCCTGCTAGAATGAAGCTATTTATGAGATTATTTAGGACCAAGCTAACAGTTGCTTACATTCACTTTACCACTGCATTTGGTTTCAACACTGCCACTTGAAGTTTTCAAAACGTGTTTCAAATAAAGTGGCCAGTGAGTGGAAGCGCAAGGTGTGTGTTTCTAATAAAGTGGCCAGTGAGTGGAAGCGCAAGGTGTGTGTTTCTAATAAAGTGGCCAGTAGGTCACAGCACAACGTGGTTGTTTCTGATAAAGTGGCCAGTTAGTGGAAGCACAAGGTGGGTGTTTCTAATAAAGTGGCCAGTAAGTGGGAGTGCAAGGTAGGTGTTTCTAATAAAGTGGCCAGTGGGTGGAAATAAGGTGAAGCACAAGGCAGATGGTGAGTGTAGCCGCCTCTCAAAAAGCTCTGAGTTTATTAAATATGTTTTCAATGCGATTTCAATACAGAAATGTAAGACTGTACAGCCCCTCATTCTCTTCTGAGTGTCTCTCATTACTGTCTTTCATGCAAGTCACTGTCCATGATCAAAACTACAAATCTGGGTGCAGCCTGGCCATTTCTGTATCGTTTCTAGCTCAGTCGTGCTGTTTTATAAGATTATTGTTTTACAAACCATTTTCTGTGTGTAATCAGCTCTGTAGAATCAGGATGTTTTAACAGATAAAATCAATCAAAAATCACACAGACCCTTATATAATATGCAACACTGTCGTGGCATTAATAATTAAGGCTAAAATGTTAAAGGCACCTGATGATTCGAAGTATACGATTTGTAAGTCTTAAGCTTGTGTCAGAGTGGAAACCTGTGGATTGTGGACCCACCTGTTCCTCACACTCCTCTTCTTCACCGTGAATAAAGATTCTCTTGATGGCAAAAAGTAGACAAATAGATCCTTTCATGCAAATCCCACTGTGATCTGTCCAGCTTTTAGAACAGTTCCGTCTGTGGATGTGAGAGCAGCTTGTGGTGCTGATGCTGGCAACGGCTAAAACACGACAAATCCCCTTCCCTCCCTCTCTCCTACTCTCTCTCTGTCTCTCTCTCTCTATCTCACCCGCTCAAGCTCTCTCTCACACACACACCCCCACACAGTGCACTCCCACCTAACACTGGGGATGGGCAATACCACTGATTTTCTTATCGATCCGATACCAAGATTAACATCCAAATAACACCAATACTGGTATATTTTTTCTTGCGCTAATTTTTTGAAATTTTGGAATGTTTACAGTGAAATTTGATAATGCAGATATATATTTGTTTGGATAACACTTTACTTGGACCCTGCTACATAACATTGACATAACCATGCCATAAACATATCATAGCAGATGTCATATGTGATAATGAGTTGTGAGTAATATAATGGTGATAAATTAGATTTTGCCTTGTTTATTTTGTTTGTGCTTTGCTTGAGGTATGTTTGTTAGTCTAGAGTCTTTAGTAATAGCTAGTCTAGAGTCAGAGTTTGACTAGGCCACAAGCCGAAGACTTTGCACCATTATAGCCAAGTTTGACTAGGCCACGAGCTGGCACTGTGATAGAAGCATTTGACTAGGCCACAAGCCTGGGACTTCTCACCATGGCAGTGCCATTGGCTAGGCCATGAGTCAGGGACTTCACGCTGTGACAGCAGGGTTTGACTAGGCCGCAAGCCGGGGATTTTGCACTGTATCAGCCAAGTTTGACTAGGCCGCGAGGATCTTGCATTGGCCTAAATATGGAAATCAAACCACAGTGTCCTGTGTGCAGGGAAAAGCTGTTGTCCTCCTAGCTATCTAACCGCTTTAGCGTTAGCATTAGTGTCTTTGCGTTCTCCACAGCCGGTACTCTGCTCTTCATAGACATTCTTTGTTATTGATAAAGAAAAGAAGTTATCTTGTTCCACAACTGATTAAGATAAGCTCTATATCTCTAATGTCAACTCAGATCAGTCTCTAACCACCTCAGCCTGCAGCTGTTTATTCGAATTCAGTTAACTTTTAATTTGCTTGTGGTATGTTTTAGTTATTGTTTTACATTTGATATTCTTTTTATTTATTTTATTATCTTCCCTGTGATGGACTGGACCTGCCCAGGGTGTATCCTGCCTCCCACCCAATGACTGCTGGGATAGGCTCCAGCACCCCCACGACCCAGAAGGATAAGTGCTCTTAGAAAATGTGTGTGTATTTTATTATGAACTTTTACTTTTTAGTTACTTCTGAGTTATTGTTTTACATTTTCTATTGTTTTATGTCTTTTATTAACTATATTTTTTATCTGTTGTTTATTTTAATGTTTGATTCTGATTTGATAGATTTTTTACTATTAAGTTTATTTTTATTGTTATTTTTATTTATTTATTTTTTTACATGTTTTTAAAATTTTTCTATCCCTGATTTCTGTATTGGTTTGGCTACATTGTAAATGAGAGTTTCCCTCAATCTAGTCTGATTTTAAATAAAGGTTGATTGATGGATTAATTGGACTGGTTGCTTAGGCTAGTGGCTAAACTGGCAGGCAGTATATGTTGAGCGCTTGCAGTAGCTGGTTGAGCACTGTGGGCATTTCCACTGTTTGAATGATGTATTTACTATACGTAATGCATGCTGGGTATTGCAGTGAGACAACACTAATGGAAAAAATCTGACAATGATGTGAATGTGAGAAATGCATCAGCGGAGAATCAATCCTAAATGCCCATTTTGATTTAGGTAGGGGTTTTCAGAACTTCTTCCACTGTGTTATTGTCACTTTCAGTGTGTGTTTTAGTCTTAAAGAGCAGCGTTTTGCTGTGAAAGGCTTTGATTTTGTTCCTCCACATTCTGTGTGTGTCGGTGAGTATGTTTAGAAAGCTTGTTAACACGGAGCTGTGAAGCTACGAGGACAGCTGGGCCAGGAATCGAAGGAGATTTCTGACTGCATCTGCCACAGAGACTGAGGGAATGAGGCATCTGGGTGTGTGTATATAGTGTGTATAGTGTGTGTGAGGCCGACTGCGTTAATGATTATGCAGACGTCTCCTGTGTGGGTTCCTAAAGAGCTGCAGACGACTCGCTGGACTGGAGCGCTGTTCAGCTAGAAAAAGAGAGACCAAAAACAAACATAAATCCACAAACAAAGATTATTCAGGTTTTTTTTTTTTGGCGGGGCCGGGGGGAATATTTGTGTTTACACTTAATAATTAAAGAGTAATTACAGTGTTAATATCCACTTAAAATGTACAAACATAATGGCCCTTATTCATCTAACGGATCTGATTCGTGAAACTTTCGTATAACATGCTTTGATTTGTGTGCGAATGGTGAACCTCAAGTGCGTGAAATCAAGCGCAAGCACACCAGCACCTCATTTACATTTCATTTACATAAAGCACACCCTAATTCATGCCAATGTTTCAGTAGTGAGCCAATAAAACGACAGCAATCAGCAGCTTGTAAGCGAATGGCTGTGCTCATAGGTGGAGTTTGAGTGCATGACTCCCCCTACTGACCAAAATATAGCGTTAAAATTACGAGCACTGCAAAATAAATAATAAAATCTGATATTAAGATGGTACAACATTAAATGCTGTATTATTGTTTGACACTAGAGGTGTTGTGTATTTTGTGGTCAGTATAAAACAAAAGCTCAGTGTAATGTGTCTTTAAATGGAATCTGGAATAGTTGCAGCGCTTGTTTATACAAAAATGCATGAATAATAAAGTATGTTTGTACTGGACTGCCATGTGCACAAATTATTATTATTGTTATTATCTTTTTTATTTATTCTTATTACTGGGATTTTAGATGATACCGACAGCAGTTTTGGCTAAGCAAATGCAAATCAAGCATTTTTTTCAGGTTGTTAAACCATTACGTTCAAATTAACAGACTCATTTTGCAATCAGATTTGATTGTATACGGTTTTGATGAAGGAGGGCCATGGTCATATGACTTTGCACTTATAAATATAAAAAACAAAGTATGCATTCATAAGCATAGATAAAGATTTGTTAAAAAAATAAAAATGATAAGGGAAAAAATATTCAAACACTTTTTAATACTTATTTGCTGACTGGCCACTTCATGCCTTCATTAAGTATGTATACTCACTGTCCATTTTATCAGCTCCACTTACTATATTGGTGCACTTTGTAGTTCTGACACTTGGTGGTGGTGTGTTAGTGTGTGTGTGTGGTTAGTCAGTGGGCTCTCATTAGTGTTTGTTGTCTGTTCTTATATAGTCTGTAAGCAAACGTTCATGTTTGCTGAAAATGAGGTTCACAGTGTAAAAACCGGAGAGCGTGTTTGGAGGAAGAGCTGCCTGATTTCTGCGGCGAGATTTAAAGCGTAGACTGCTGCTGTTTCTCTCTGATGGAGGCCAGACTTTGATGATTGTACAGAGAAACTGAAATTATGATCCGTTTCTCTCTCTCTCATTTTTTTGACATGGTCAGTGGGGTTTCGGACAATGAGTGATTAACTCTGTGGCTCTGCTTGTGTTTTTGTAACAAATCTGTTTTTATCATCCCCAGATAACAAAATATCTAATCTTCCTCTGCACAGTGTACAAACAGCACACACACATTATACAATATCAGGGCAGGGATCATATGTACTATATGGCCAAAAGTATGTGGACAACCCTCCTAATTATTCAGGTGTTTCAGCCACACCCACTGCTAAAAGGTGTATAAAATCAAGCACATAGCCATGCAGCCTCTATAGACAAACACTGACAGTAGAATAGTTCAAACTGAAGAGCTCAGTGACTCGAAACATGGCTCTGACATAGGATGCTGCCTCTGCCACAAGCAAGTTTGTGAAATTTCTGTGCTGCTAGATCTAGAAGCATCTAGAAGCAGCTAGTGCTCAACTAAGAAGCTGTATCACTCACTACAGAGTTCCAAATTGCCTCTGGAAGCAACATTAGAACTGAGCATCAGGAGCTTCATGAAATGGGTTTCCATGGCTGAGCAGCTGCACACAAGCCTAAGATCACTACTGCGCAATGCCAAGTGTCGGCTGGAGTGGTGTAAAGCGCCACCACTGGACTCACACCCAACTATCCAAACAGAGCCCTGACCTCAACCCCACTGAGCACCTTTGAGATGAACTGGAACGTTGATTGTGAGCCAGGCCCTCTCGTCCAACATCAGTGCCTGACCTCACAAATGCTCTTTTGACTGAATGGACACAAATTCCCACAGACTCTCTCCAGAAAGTAGTGAAAAGCTTCCCAGAAGAGTGGAGGCTGTCACAGCCAGAAAGGGGGACAACTCCATATTAATGCCCATGGTTTTGGAATGGGACCTCCAACATGCTCATATAGGTAAGATGGTGTCCACATACTTTTGACCATATAGTGCATTTATAACCACCATATAGACACATCCAGTTTGGGCTTTGGGCAAGTCTGTAGACTCTACGATCAGAGTTAAGGTTCTTGTTTTGAGAGATGCTGTGCTTCTTTAGATGGTCAAGAGAGTCTGACAAGTTTCGTTTTCAGTGGCCACAGTTAATGTTTGTTAACGTTCATTTGTCCGTTTCTTAGTAACAAGATACTCACAATGCCTTTTGCTACTCATTCAGCTGATGTAGAGATCTACAGTATTCACTAAAAACTATGAGTGTATATAGTAATGACAATAAAAACACTCTGGAACTCTATTTCACAATTCAGCCACTATGAAAAAAAGTGAACGATCATGTCAAAGACATGCTAAAATGCTAACAGGCACCCATTTTGGTCACAGACATATATTTGACCAATACCAGTGGACTGCAGCAGCTCTATTAGTGGTGGTGTAATATTATTTGTGCCATTCAACACTTCAAGGACCATCCACTCACTATACTCTGATTCAGATTCTCTGATTTAGATTCTCTGATTCAGATTCCCTGATTCAGATTCTCTGATTCAGATTCCCTGATTCAGATTCTCTGATTTAGAATCTCTGATGTAGTTTCTCTGATTCAGATTCCCTGATTCAGATTCTCTGATTTAGATTCTTTGATTCAGATCCTCTGATTCAGAATCTCTGATTCAGATTCTTTG